GATTCGGAGGTGCGAATCGAACGAGGATTGTTGATACATCCAACAATTCTTCTTCTTCTATTTTCGATTCGCGAACATCTTTTAAAATCTGTATTTTATTCTCGGCGAAGAGTGATGCTCTTGTAAGATATCCGTTTATGAATGATCTAAAAAGTATCTCCATAGTGGGTGCCGTGTCTTGCAATTTTGCCAGAATTGTTGTTTGTTTAACGGCGAGAAAATCGAGTTCGATACTCACCTTTCGGTAGATTTTGTTATGCATTTTTTCTTTCGCTTCTGTACAGATTTGTTTGAAATCATCTTCGAGTTTTTTTATCACGGTTTTGTCTAATGTTGACATTATTGGTATTTCTGTATCAAATCTGTTTAAAATCGGTAGCGGTAGATTTAACGGACCTCGAGCAGCCATTGTTTTTATCTCGATGAATTTCCTAGACGAATTTACAAGATTATCTTTCAGCGATTGAAACTCACTTTTTGCTTAGCCTGATATACTTTTGTTGATTCCGTTAAGAGCTTTATCGATAATTTTATCTTGTTTTAATACCTTCACACGTCTTTTGAGTGTGTCTTGCCAAGATTGTGTTTGTTCGTTTATGTACCCCATGTACTTGATTCGTAGTGCCGATTTAATCTCTGACCATGATTGTATCTGTTCAGTGTCCCATATTCCACCTTTGTCGTCTCTGCATGCGTCGTGATTGGCGTCAATATGGTCGGCTTCTTTTCTTATCAATTTATGATAATAAACCAGTTGCTTTTTGATGTATTTGATATGTACTGCTGGATCGTGGGATTTTGTATTGTTCAAAACTTCACGAGCAGTTATTGACCATTCGTTGTCGTTAGCAAAATTCATATATTGTTCGAATAGGACTCGTTGGAAATTTGCTCTAGCTAAACGATCGAAATGTACAATTAATCTAGAGAGATGGACTTTTGTCGAAGCTGATGAATCGGCAAAAATCTTCTCTAGTACAGCAGGTTTCAGATACTTTGGCGTTTTTGCTAAACTCTGATTAATTTGTTCAAAGTACATAGGGGTTTGTCCTTCAATAGTATTCGAGAACATATCTTCATACTGATCGTCTGTCGTCTGGAGTTGATTTTTGTTCCGAACGAGGTTTATATCAGATTCATATCGATTTAGGGTAGTAGGCGGCCGGGGCATATGTTTTTGACCTTGAAATTGCTGGTCACTGCTATACCCATCCTGAAATGGCCGAGATGGCACTACATCAGTAGTTCGCTGAGTATTGTTCCGATATACCAAGTTCGGAACATTATAACCTCTCCTACTGACTTTATTTTGACGAAATGTTTTTTGTTTGTTTGTATTATACTGCTGATTTTGAACATTACTGTTGTTGTTCGTTACAGTATTATTGCTAATTTGACGATCCTGAAAAGAATTGGACATAGTATTTCTCTTTGTTGCAGTAGGATAGCCTAAAATAGGCTGCGCGTAATTGTTTTGTTGTTGTTGCTGAAACGGTATCTGATATTGACGAGGTACATAGTCATAAAAGACGGGTAGTTCTGGTGGATAATAGCTGTTATTGTTATAATATCCTAGACCTCGTCCATTGCTTCTACCTCGATTTCCACCACGGGATGGTCTATTCTGGTTCCGAAAAACTCTGGATTGCTGTGGGTATGTGGAGCCTGAGTCGTCATCGTACAGAAGTGAAAGAAAAAATGCATAACAAAATCTGCTGAAAGGTGAGTATCGAACAGATTTTAAAAGATGTTCGCGAATCGAAAATAGAAGAAGAAGAATTGTTGGATGTATCAACAATCCTCGTTCGATTCGCACCTCCGAATCTATTCTAATCAATACATCATATCCACCAATCGTCCGGAATCAGGCATTATTTTTGGACGAACATGAAGTAAGTTTTCTTCGCTTAGGACCAAAATTTGTTCCCATTAATCACACATCGCACAAACGTATATCGATGACGCTACCAAACTCTGTCGTTCATATTACAATAATTCATTTTCCGAATCTTTTCACAACAGACTTATCACCAAAGAAAAAAGTGATTTCGTTTTTATAGTATAGCACTTATAAAAATCAAATGTCAAAATAAATAGAAAATTTAACAATCTTGTTTTATCTTTAACTTCATAACCGTATCTCCTATAGAGTTAAAGCAGGTGTCAGAAAACCAGCTCGTTATGTAACTGATATACTACTGTGTAAGACGCCTTAGTGTAATTACACTAGAAATTCAAAAACGAGGCAGCAGTGTAAGCTTGTGGAGCGCCATGACAAGTGCTCTTTAGATAATAGAATCTAATTGAATTAAAACTTTGCCTTTGGAATACTGTAACTCGTATTAGGAATAATTGATAATATTACAAAACAGACACGGGTACACATCCGTCGAAACAATTTTTCTTTTAGTCTTTTTTTGACAAGCTTACATTCTAAGTTTATCACGTCGCCGTATAATTCTGCTTAAAAATTCTATTTCTGTTGAACTGTTAGCTCGACGCTATTATTCTGTATTCACACTAGCGTCAATGTTTTTTGCTAACTTTGACCTCTTTTTGTATATTGTACATGACATTTCTTTGTAAGAAAAACGTTTCTCAAAGTTTTTCTCTCTTCTATGTTGCTCAAGCGTACAGCTGAACTATTGAGAACAACAAGTACTTCAAGTCTTCTAAAAGTTGATGTTGGTATTCGTCCATTCATTACTTTTATTTTATTTTGTACATCAAGTGTTGTCATATGTATTCATTTACGACACCGAAATCCCTACGACCGATATTAACGACTATTTTGATTGTATCTACTATGGTGGTCGTACAGATGTTCATTTATATTCTATCGAATATTGTCGAAGAAAAAATGATAACGCAAACGTGAAACGAATAGTATCTGAGAAAAAATGTTTAAATAATGGAACAGAATACAGTTTTAAAATGCTAAAAGATATGAAAATATAGCCAATGTAATTGAAAAATGAAATTCTTTTATGGAGTTCAAGTGTCGAATCAGTTGATCGTTATTCAGCTTATCTAAACGTGTGTGTATAACGCACGGTGTAGAAACGATGACAAGCTTTTGCTTTTTGTTTCACAAATACTCAGATAGTTTGAAGAATTAATTTTAGGCTCAAGAGAGGTAGAGAATTTTCTGCTCTTTAGAACCCTCTCTAAGTTTACAATCACCTTTTGTTTGACTATTTGAAAAAAATAACGCATAATTAGAACAGTTAAGAAGTAAAACTGTGACATGGAGTTAAAGTTTTAGTGGTGTTTCAGCTTTTAAGCGATCATTTTCGAAACGATGTGAAATTCAGCATAGTGCTTGAGTTTAGAAATGTTCAACAGAATCAGACCGCTTGCTCATCCGAATCGCAAAAAGTTTCAGCGCATGAGAAAAAGTAGCCGTTCCAGTCAAATCCGAAAAAAGCAGGAGAAAACAGCAACAGAACGCGGTGTGAGGTCACAGAATAGTACACTTTATAGAGGAAGTTTGGTATTTTTCACAGTTGGACAGGGATCTTGAAATCGTATCGTACACTGGAAGAAACTGCGTATTGAAATCGCCCATTATATTGGGGCCATTTGTTGTTAATGCGGTACTGTTAAGAAAAATTCTATTTTTTGATAAAGATTATTAGATGAAGACGATTTCTTCACACACAGTACGTGTGCGGAGTCAAACATAATGCAGACGGACAGGCTGAAGACGGAATTTTCATTAATATATTTATTTTAGAGTTACATTTAATGGTAGTGAAATTTTATGTAATTGTTCAAAAGTCGGTACATTTGGTAAACATTGTGAATATGAATTAGTTTGGGCAAATGAAACTTTCTCACAAAATATTCAACAACAATTTGAACTGAAGGATCATTTTGTATTGGGTAGTCAAATACATGGCAATACAACGCGTTATCAAACTTAATTTAAATCCGATTTTGGAGCATTATGCCTCGATTGGCGCAATATCTGCGATGGAAATCAAAATTTTCTTGATGGTACGGATGAAGATAATTGCGAATTACTTGAATATAAAGTAAAAAGTTTGAACAAAGATAGCCGATGAAAAATCCATTACTGTGCATTCTAACTATTTTCTACAGAGAAAGTCGTCCGAAAAAGATAGGATCGACAGTTGATCAAAAGTATGATCAGATGTTTTTACATTCGGCACCTTTCAGATATAGGTTCTGGAATGTTTTGGAACTTCGAGATCAGTCACAGTAAGTTCCTCAACAAGTAGACTAAAGGTTTAAGTTAAAAAATAACATTTTCAATTTTCATATTCAAAAATAAAATAAAGAGGTTATTAGCGCAAACCTTGGGTCTAAAGTGTAACTCTTCCATTCAAACGTGAAGGACTAAGATACTACAGTCTGCAAGGAAGAGCTTTACAAAACAACATAAAATCTATTTATTCTAAGGAAAATTTGTAAATTCGGACACGTTTGGACGTATTCTGCATGAGAAAATACTGATGAGAAAAACTTTTGAAAATTTAATTTGAAGATTAAAATATAAAAATAGCACCCGAACCACGATAGACACAAATAAGAATCGATCGGTCGCCCGGTTCGATTGCAACTCTGCAGTATACGATGAAGTACGACATCGTATATAATATCGTTTTTCAATCTGACCTAAACTGCACTCTCTCAAATGTGGAATTAGCTGAGCTGGATCACTGAGAAATGATCGATCCAACGTATACCGAGCGCACTCCAATCTGCCGATATTCGACAAGGTAGTAGAAGACGAAGAAGAGAGTGATTTAAGTAGATCGACAATTACTTGTGAATGACCGACAGCCAATAGTGGTGATGTGAATGTAAGAATATTTAAATTCGGCGATAGAATCTGCTGTGTCTCGATCGATGGCTGTAATAATGTTCAATGTCAACGATTTCAATTGATCTTGAAAGGATCTTAAAAATTTCAACAAGATTTTCATTGTTAATTAATTCAAAATTTTAACAGTAAATTCCAGTTGCAGTGTGACTAAAACTGAAGGCACTAGTAAGGAAATAAGTTGAGGGTTAGGGCTAAGAGAGGTAGAGAATTTTCTGCTCTCCAGAATCCTCTCTAAGTTTACAATCACCTTTTGTTTGACTATTTGAAAAAAATAACGCATAATTAGAACAGTTAAGAAGTAAAACTGCGAATTGGAGGTATTCACGCTGCAAGAGCTTGTCGCGGGTCAGATGTAAAGATTTCGGATCCAAGCGAATCGTCTGATGATGAATATCAAATGGATATTGATGACGAAGAATTAAGTTTTAAAGACAAACTTTTGGTAACCGACATTGGTGATCTTGCTGAAATGTGCAAGTCGAAATGTGACACGAAATATCTTAGTACTTTGCTTTATATGTCGTTACGTTTCTTCAACATTAAGCGGGAACATGTTGATGACTATTTGAAGAGTATTAGTTTTATGACCACGAAAACTTCTCATAAATGGGCGACAGTGTTTATTAAAGGAGATTATGAAGAATTTTCAAATGATTTACGTGGTGGTAAACAAACTGATTCATTTTATGATACGTTTCCCGAGATTGAAGCAGATGCAAAAGCATTTGTCGTTCAAGCGTGTTCATAAAAGTCAGGAGAATTCAAGGCGTTGGATTTGGCTCAGTTTATTGATGAAAACTATTATGAATTAACAGGAATTAAAAAGCAAAATGGCGACGATTTGATAAGATCCGAAAGAAGTTGTCGCCTAGAACATCGTAATGAATTTATTAATTATTTCCTAGCACATAGAGATTTTTATTACACAATTACTGATGGCGACATACCTATGTGGAACATTCCGATCCAAAATCCTCATAGAATACTTATATGTAAGCACAGCAATCGAAATTTTTTGATATAATTTCTATTATGCTTTTCTTCTTGTTTATCTTTACTAGTTCATGATGAATCAACCTTCAGAAGTGGTGAAGTTAGCCCGAAACGCTGGTTTTTTACAGAAAATACACCGTTTTTTCCAAAAGGTCGTGGTCGCAGTCATATGGTTTCTGATTTTCTTGTTCAACACCCTAGTGGACTATTTTTTGAACTTAGTCAAAATGAATGGAAACAAACTATTGCGAGATATAAATCGGTAAGTGTCGATGGTAATGTCAATTATCTTTATCGAACGGCGACAGCTAGTATTAATATTGGAACAGACGCGTATTTCAACAATGATAAGGTGCGGGTAATTCAAACTTCAAGCAGATTTTGGATTTTTTTGAAACACACACCGTTCGATAGAGCTTGAATAGCTCTACAAGGATATCGCCTTTAAAAGTTTTTTCGAGCTTTCCTTCCAGGAGAAAACCTTGAAATACTAGTTTGTTATTCGACAATG